TACACACATGCACACACACACACACACACACACACACACACACATACACACACACGCGCGCGCACGCACACGCACACTTGAGAGACAATATATATTTTTATATATATATATATATATATATATGAAAATCTACCAACTTATTTATTTAATAAAACAAAAAACGAAATAAGTTATAAATATATATGGCCTCGAACGAAAATATTAAAAGAGTCAACACACAGTAGGATCTTTTTTAATTAGTATGACGCTTAAAGTCGCTGCTTTAATTAGTATCTTTATTGAGTATCGGAGCATCTCTATAAATTTTACAACCTCTCGTCCCTGATCTCGCGGATTAAGAAAAAGTAGAAAACGAGCGTTATCTAAATGTTCACTCGATTGTCAGAGCGCTTAGAATTTCGCGCGACAAGCGCAAATATTACATGTTTGCCTTCGCGATCTCTCGATCCTTTTAAAGCAGCGACTATTCTACTCTTAAGAAATAAGATAACAATCAAGTATCTCGAGAGATAGACTTCGCTAAACTAAACTTATCTCGTATTTCGGGCAACGAATAAATTCAACTTTAACCGCGAAAAGAAAACGTGAGCATCCTCGAAACGATTTTCTCGGCGCTATCAGCACCGAAAACAGATTTAGAATTGAAGCTTCAGAGTTTTCTGACTAGAAGTGAGAAGCCGCTTCCGCGAATTGAAACGGCAAATGTTCTCTCCCTAAAACATATTACGATAGACTAGAACGTTAAAAATCGGGCACAAAAAGTCCAGATCAACTTATGCTAATATGGCAAACTATGGCACAGAGTTTGCGAGGTATTCAAAGTCGACATACGAATGAATCTTTATCTCGTATGCGAGTCCTTAGCTTAGAATTATTCACGAAATTATTCAGATACAGCTAACTTATTTACTGTGACGTTACGTTGAGAAATAAATAAAAATAACTCTGTTTAAAAATTATAAATAGAGGGATTCATTGTTTTTGTGTAATCGTCATTCTTAGCTCTTCGATACAATCGACTCGCCCGTTTCCCGACTTTGAACATTGACTTAAGAGCCTTAATATGATACAATCTATCAATCGCAAATACTCGGAAACGCACCAGCCTAAAAAACAAAAACAAAAAAACGCCGAATCATAGCAACGGATCTGATTTGGATCGGTTTCGCGATCACATTCGCGGGAGCTGCTGATGATCGATCGCATTCAGCGGCTAGGACGTTCTTGTTCGACACAATTCGATCGTCGATAAATATATAAATAATAGTTAATAATAAAAATTTTTTTAAAATTTTAAAATATACATAAAATAAAATTTTTCTAGACAGAAACGATATTTTTAAATAAATTTCAATTTTGCTTTATACATAGTTAATAGGTTCTCGATAACAGCGCCAAAGTAGATGGCGAACAAATAAAAATTCAATATGAAATAAATAAAGTAAGAAATTTAATATTGATTCAGAAATTAATTATGTTCCGAATCGATCTCGGTAATATTCCGATCGTCGAACAGGGAGACTACTTACAAAGGCCTCTAGGCATAAAATAGCGCTTAAAAAATATCTGCTCTTTTCGATCGAATGTGTCGACAAGGATATGTCCACGAGGTAGTACACCGCCCTTACGAGAAGGGCAGATCCTCGTCTGGCGACTCGTCGTGGTACTCCTCGTGGTCGGATGTGTGTCACAAAACATCGCTCGGTTGGCGCTGTCCGATGCCTATCGTGGGCGACAACTGTTCCTCCTCGACCGCCACCGTCTTCGGATCCTCGTCCTTCCATTTGTCCATGGAGCGGCGTCGGGCGTTCATGAAGAAGTTGCCGACCGTCGTCGGTTCCAGGCCCAATTGCCTCGCGATTGTCACCTGCATCTCCTTCGACGGCCTCTTGGTCTCCTGCGGAGAACGGAAAATTCAGTTTTATATATATTCCATATATTTATTTTTTCAATCCTGTGTGCTCCTGTGTCATTATATGTATACATCTAGTCTATTTTGTTTTTCAGATTTTTTCTCTAATTTAGTTTATTTATAAATTTTATTTTATTTGTGCATATTTTGTACATTAATTATTGGGTTGTGTTGATTAATATCGATAGCAATTAATTGTTGCATTTTCATATTTTTTGCGTCGAAGAATATTTATATACAATATATCAAATTGATTGATAAATATATAACGTATATTTTAGGTTTTTATTTTATATATTTCCTGTTATTATTTTTTAAATTACTATTATTTAATTACTATTTATTATATTTTAATTACTATTATATATAATATTTTATTTTAATTTTAATTTGGACATTCTATAAGTTATTTGCAAGAGGAAAATAGAGTATCTAAAAAACAAATATATGTGAAAAGAGTGGGATTAATAATGCTTAATATTTTCTTTAAAATTTTCATAGAACGTCTCTTTATATCTCTAGTAAAGATAATAAAATATTCTATTATTATTGTGAATAAATCTATTTCCCTTCTATCAAGAGAGATTTAGACGCACATTCAGATGTAGATTCAGAGTACAATGTACTCGCAAAGACCTGTGTGCTAATTTCGACTGTGCCATGTGAAAGTATTGGTTAGTAATAATTGTTACTCTGGCAATCGATATACTCTACCTCGAGTCGCGTTATTGATCGGGCTACGTTGGGTAAGAAACGTCGCGTGGGAAGAAAGCGTAGTAGTCCATTTACCACATGTAAAGAAATGTTTATCATCCACCAATATTGAACGAACGACGAATTATCATCAAAAGTGCCAGTTGTCACAAGCATTTAAAAAATCATTAATTTACGTCGCGGTTCCTCTTCATTTTTGATTCAAGCATAAAATATTCATATTTTTCAGAGAAGAATTAGGTAAACAAGTTTAAATTAAATACATTATAGATGAGCAAGTTGAATAAAAAATCGTACAGATTATAATTTAAAAACAAATTTGGATTACTCTTTTTTTTATCAAAAGAAATAATGTGACCGAGTGTATGAGATACATGCATATATACATATACATATATATGATGTAAGCTTATTCTGTAATAAAAATAATTAATACTAAAATAATTTTTTTTCAAATATAAATTTTAGAAAACTGATATAGTAGATATCGACGATGCATCCATAGCGGAGCATCGATACACCCATTGTAGTTCTATTCTTAGCACCTAGACTTTTCTCTGTTTTAGGACGTACATAAACATAAAGCCAAGGACAGTCTTGGCGCGGCTTAAAAGAACATTGTATTCTTTTTTTTTTTTTTTTTTTTTTTTTTAAAGAAAAACACTTAGCGTTGCTCGCAAAATTCGCGCAACGTCATGTAAAATTGCACTGATAAGAGACGTGATTTTCTTGCCGTCACTTTCACGAAGGACTCTCTCTCTCTCTCTCTCTCTCTCTCTCTCTCTCTTTCTTTAGCAGGCAGTTAGGCACGATGTATGACGTGACGTGTGTACACGCGTAGGTACGTTCGCGCGCAAAGCTGAAACGCACATCGCTCGTGCATAGCATCACACACAGTGGCTGTCAAGGAATAATCACGATGCCTCGTCGCGATAGTGTCCCGCATTTCCAACAATTGATGCGTCGTTCTATACGAGGAGCGGGCACCGCCTTCATGTTTTGCAACTGCAGCTGCCGCAGCGAAGTCCGCGCGGATACGCGCGTATCAATAGCCAGCGGCGACAACACGCGGCACTCTCTCTCTCTCTTTCTCTCTCTCTCTATATGTGCCTTAAACGAAGTCCCCGGCGCGTGTCCGGCGCAAGTTAAGCGAAATTAACGTCCACGAGTTAATTAAAGTACGCCTCTCTCGGCCGCCGCCGCCGCCGTTGCCTTTTCCTCTGAAAATCGAAACCCCGTCGATTCCATGCGTCACCGCGAATTAAATTATTAATTAATTTCGGGGATATTTAACGGCTCGTGGACGCCTCGGCCCTTGAATTCGGAATTATTTAATTCTCCCGCGGCTATCTAACCGGAATTCGTGCCGGTTAGCTGATACACGTGTGGAAATTTTATTATTAAATTTCGATAAAACTGCTTTTTCTCTATCGCTATAAGTGTATAATCCGTGAAAAATGTAATAAAAACTATTCGATTTCTCCATGTCATTTAAAATGGGGTTAAATAAATTTCGATTCGATCTTCTATACGCATTTGATATTATAAATTTCTTCTTATATCAATCGCAAAAATTTTATTCCGTCCAGTTTTGCAATTTTTATCTGTTATTATAGAAGGTAAATTTTCCTTACGGAAAATTCCACGCGCACACGGATAATTTTCCTTAGCAAATATCTCGCTGTTTAAACAAATGCGTGAAAAATTTATTTGGAATTCTCGTAAGACTCATTGTCGTGTCTTAGAGAGAGTGCTGGAAAGAGCTTCGGCTTTTTTTTTTTTTTTTTGAAATCGGGTTAAAATTTCAATGCAAAAGGGACACTCCTTTAAAGTGCCGTTTCCCCAATGAAACAGAATATCAATTATATCTTTGCAATTACATAGCAATTAATACTCATTCTAATGGAGGCCGAGCCTGCCCGCCGTAAAGGCGGCGCGATAGTCGCTTTGAGAATAATCGAGGTTGCGAGCTTTATATTATTGCGTCCTGGGGACGCAAATAAAAGTCTCATCTCTCCGGAATCTGCGCAGCTCCCATTATACTCAAATCGCCCTTCAAATGTTTTTTATTATAAAGCGCGCGTATTAATTATCTCCACAATTAAAGCAATTAATAGCAATATATATAGAATATCTGTTATAACTTATTATTAAAATGTTAAGAATATATTTTTATATAAATTATACATAATCGCGGTAAAATTTAGGGACATTTCAACAGATTCCAAGGAATCTTTAAAAAAATTTCGTATCATTTCAGCATTACATAAAAAATCCAAATTTTCATGAGTCTTATGCGATTTCATTTTTAAATATTTATGTTCGATATATATGATTTCTCTCTCTACTTTTTTTTATATATAAATTAAAATATTTCTATTTCAATCTGTAAAATATTAGATACTAATCGGTTAATGTAAAATGATTATTTTTACATTATCATACTCGTTGAGATGTATTTTTAAATCCCCTTATCTAGTGATGCTGTTATAGAATATCTGTTATAACTTATTATTAAAATGTTAAGAATATATTTTTATATAAATTATACATAATCGCGGTAAAATTTAGGGACATTTCAACAGATTCCAAGGAATCTTTAAAAAAATTTCGTATCATTTCAGCATTACATAAAAAATCCAAATTTTCATGAGTCTTATGCGATTTCATTTTTAAATATTTATGTTCGATATATATGATTTCTCTCTCTACTTTTTTTTATATATAAATTAAAATATTTCTATTTCAATCTGTAAAATATTAGATACTAATCGGTTAATGTAAAATGATTATTTTTACATTATCATACTCGTTGAGATGTATTTTTAAATCCCCTTATCTAGTGATGCTGTTTTTTTTTTTTTCAAACACCTTTCCTTTGAATCTTTAAGTTAAAGATACTCTCTTTTATCTCTCTCTCTCTCTTTTACGAGGATTAATTTGCTGGAATACAAGCACGCAAACGAGGAATGATTCGACAATCGTGCGGGAAAGATTGCGCGCGATTTGGAACGTACGAGTAAAGTGGGCTAAGGTCAATTCGCAAACTATTTGGCGTCCGTCCAGGAACTCGAGCAGAGACTTTGTTTTTATTTCTCTTCGCGATCACACGCGAAGCACGATCGCGATAAAACGCGAGTAAAACGTTGAATCTCGTTAAAGTGGGTCCCGATATTGCGAGGATTAAAATGCGCCGATCATTCGGCGCTCCTGTTCTAAAGACGAAATATCCGCCTATATGGCTACAGCTAATGTCGCTCATCGCACTTGCTTCACGAAGATCCTTAGTCGTCGGGCTTGGCGTGATTGTCGCCGTGCATGGTTTCCTCAGCTGTTTGGAATAGTTCTCAACCATAAGGGGAGAAATTTTACTCTCCCCCTTCCCCCGGATATATGCGTTAAATGCACCTTCTTTGCTTATTAAAGGGAATTGCCTTCATAAGGTGAGCATAGTTTAAGCCATTATTTCGAAATACAATTTATTTAACGAAGGATTTCTTTTTTACTCTTCTATATTCAATTTGTGTGTAATTATCCAATATATCTTTGAGAATTAAAATATTATTTTAATATAT